GACAGCAGTTGATTCATTTATATGACCTTTGTATTCCAGTTTATCAAAAGCTGAGCAAGAAGGATCTATATCTTTATGCAGCGTTATTCAAACCCAAACATGTGAAACAAATTGTAAATATTATGGAATACAGTGCTGGAGATGATTTGGTTTTCAAAATGATCTTTGCTTTACGAAAGGACTTTGTAAATATTCTTAAAATGCCAATCTCCTCCATTAATTTGACCATCTGGTTAGAGTTCTTTTTTTTAATGTTTTTTAAAGATTTTATTTATTTATCTTTAGAGGGGAAGGGAAGGAGAGAAGGAAAGAAATATCAATGTATGGTTGCCTCTCATGGGTCCCTTGCTGGAAACTGGCCTGCAACCCAGGCATGTGCCCTGACTGGGAATTGAACCACGATACTCTGGTTCACAGGCCTGCGCTCAATCCACTGAGCTATACCAGCCAGGGCTGGTTAGAGTTCTTAAAATTAGATTTTTACTCCAGAGATATGAAAATTCAAAGATAAGAAAATATCTTTCATAAAGATTGTCTGTGTACAGATTTTCGTTATGTATTCCAAGTTTAGACTGACTTTGCAGGGGAGGGGAGCGTCTCACCATTGGGTTAACAGGGAGTATTTTTAATTCCCAGGCTTTTGTTGTAAGTAATTATATACAGACCTGGAAAGGATAATTTAACATTTCTTAGTGAACATAAGGTAGAATGTTGTATAGAGTGCATAGAAACATTGTACCAGCTTTCAAAAAAAACTTTTAAGACGTTATCTTTTTACCTTTCAGTTTTAGACTCAGTTCTACAGTAGGATTCCCAGGTGCAGGCTCCGTACCTGAAATAGAAAGGCCTTCCTCCGCGACATACCATCCTGCTGGAGCATGCGACCTGTCTCGTCTGTGCTTAGAGGGTGCCTACTTGCTTTTGAAACATAAATAATTGAACTGAAAATGCAGAAGGATATTTAAATTAGGTTGAAATAAATTAGGTTAACCTAATGTAAATTTGGTTAAACCTTGAGAAAAATATTTCTTTAAATTTTTTCTTCACCCTATTCTTCATACACACTTACATAAACTTCTTTCTACTGGTAAATTCAAAGAAACTAATACCATTCTAGAAAGGACTGTCAGTTTTGCCTTTCACACCTGGAATCCTTAGTTGCCTGGTACTGACGTACGATGCAGTTTGGCTGTGTCTGGAGTGCTGAGACATCATAATAAAATATACAGTATAAGATCAGAAATGCCCCATATGACAGCAGCTGAATATAGAAATGTTTTAAATGAGTTAACTTTAATGAAATATCATTTATAAATAGTAAAGTGTACAGATTTTATGTGTACATTTTGATAAATTTTGAAAAATGTGTATCTTATAGAACCACTACTGCAATCAAGATCTGGAATATTTTCACACTACAAAAGGTTCCTTTGTGCTCCTTTGTATTCAGTTTCATTGCCCACCCCCTCCCAGATAACCATGGGTTTAATGAAATGGCAAGGAACACTTGCTTACACACGTTCATATTTTCATCTCCTTTGAGTGGAATGCTAGGAATTATAGAGTTGGTACATATTTAAATTTATAATGAAGTAGCAAAACATTTTCTAAAATGACTGGATAATTGTACAACCCTACTCCCCAACATTGTATGAATGTTCTTGATGCTCCACAGCCTCACCAATAATTAATATTGTCGGTTGTTTAATTTAAGTCATTTGAATGGCTATACAGTAGTGTCTAATTTTGGTTCCTCTGATGAATAGTGATGTTGACAGTTTTTTAATTTGCTTATTGGCCATTCATGAGTCTTCTGTTTTCAAAAAATCTATCAATCTTTGGCCCATTATTTATTGAGTTTTTTGTCAAGTTTTTGTCAGATAAATGCATTACAAATGTTCATAGTTTGCTTTTCCTTTTTAATTAATGATCATTTGAAGAGTACAAGTGTTAGATTATGATGAAAATTGAATTTGTTTAACCACAATTCCTGTCCCATTCTCTCTTTCTCTCCTCCCTCTGGACCCAACACATGTGTATTGGGCCTGTCGACATTAGCTTGCAACTTCCTGAGGTTGTGCTTATTTTAAATTTTTTTTAATGTGTGCACTTTCACTTAATAATTTCTGTGAGTCTGTTTGTAAGTTCACTCATTCATTTCTCAGAGTGCCATCATCAATCTGTTGAGCCCATCCAGAATTTTTTTATTTCAAACATTTTACTTTGAAGTCATAGAACTTAATTTGTTTGCCTTTTATAGTCTCTATATTCCTGCTGAGATTCACTATGTGTTCACTCATTAAGACCATTTTTCCTTTTTATTGCTTGAACTTATTTTAATAGCTACTTTAAAATCATTGCTGATTACAACATCTGGGTCATCTCAGGGTCTCTTTCTATTGACTGCATTTAAATTCTTTTGTAATTATATTGTTTAATATAACATAATAAGCCAGAATCTAATGTCCTTTTTAAGCTTTTCCACTGGATAAAATGGATTGAGTTGCTGACCCTTCTCCTTATATGTTCTTCATAAGGACTTATGAATTTCATGGCCAAAAAAACCTTTCATTGAATAGATATAAGATAAAGAGTAGTAGTTATAATACTATAGCTTTTAAAGTTTTATTTTGTGTAATTAAAATTTTATTTAAAAAACTTAAAAGCTATAAAATTATGAATATACATCACATTTTTGACAATTGATGCCTCTCAGCATGCAGTTCAACTGGTACATGTCTGTGTTTTCATATACATGTCTCTTTATGGTCCCCGCCTCAAAGGCCGGGATGGGCCAATGAATTAGATGCTGCACGAGGATACTACACGCTGTGTCATTTCAAGTCATATCTCAAGGGTCCATCTAAACATGATGGAGTTAGTACTTTCACACATGGGTAACAAGTTCTGCTTGTGGAGTTCACACGCTGAACTGCTACAAGCTGTCCAACAGGTGACGGGTTTGACTGCGTTTTTAAAAATTAACTGTGGCTCATATTCACCTGCTTACTTGCATGTCTAATAAATTGTTATTCTGTATTGGACATTATGAATGACATAGGATACACAGTTTTGAGTATTTTTCTTCCATCAATAAAGAGTTTGTTTCATCAGAGTTAATTATTGGGGATTCTTCTTAATCTTACTGAAGTTTGATTTTAGCCTTTTTTAGGGCTGGTCTACAGTAGCTCCTACAGTGGTGTGGTTCTTATTCCCAGAGTACAACTTTTTTGGATCCTCAGTCAAATTTTCGAGGAATTGTTGAGATCTTTACACTCTGGTCTCTCTATTCTCCTAGTCAAGTGTGAGCTGTAGTGTCTTCGTTTTACTCAAAGCTTGTGCCATGTGCTCTCCGCTTGCCTTCACTGAGTCTTACCTCGCACATGTGTGGTCCAGCCTTTGACTTCTAGATAGTAGCTCTATCTTCTCTGTTATAACTTTCTCCTCCAATTTCCAGTTGCTTTATCAGCTAGGAATAGTAATCTCTGTCTCCTCGGCACAACGTAACTGCTTTGTTTATGTTTTTCATCCCTGTGCTATTATCAGGAAATTCTCTCCACGCTGATGTCCTGGACTCAGCTGGGTGTACTTGGTGATGACATTTCTCTGATGCCTATTGTACAAAGTCTAAAAACAATTAACTTCATATATTTTGTCTAGTTTTATAGTTATTACTATAAAAGGGCACTCTGTCATGTATAGAAACCTAATATGGTAGAAATATTCTTTTTAAAGTTATTTCTAAGATTACTGGTTCTCAAACTTTAGCATATATCATATTCACCTGGAGGACTTGTTAACACACATATTGTTAGGGCCCGCCCTTTAGAATTTCTGGTTCAGCAGGAATGAATCATGGCCCAAGAATCTGCATTTCTAACACATACCCTGGTGATGCTGCTGGTCTCGGAACCACACTGAGAGCAACTTGCTTAGAAATAGGGATCTTGAGGAAAATACCAAGACTCATTTGGGACTTAATACACACAATTTTTCTTTCTTTTTATTTCCCTGGTCTTGTGCTCTGAAAAATAAATTTATATTTTAGTTGGTTTATTATAATGCTAGGCATCTTTATATTTTTATTTAAAATATGATTTTCTAAAAGTTTTTAGTTTCTTGCATTGAACAGGATATGTTCTCCCTTTAATTGATAGTCAGAAACAGAATATATGATAGTAAATAGTTATAAAATAATGAAATATGATAGTTTTATTTTTGTCTGCACAAATAAATATTTTCAATAAAAATCTTCTCAGACATGGAATTCAATAAGTTTCAAAACTAAGTATTTGGTTTTTATTTTAGAAATTGGACTTTATTTCAATTTAATCATTCTCAGACCTGTTTGTATATGTGTGTCATGTGTGTGCATGGGTATCGGGTGTGTATTTTGTAGGTAAGAGACAAAACAGTGATGACCAGTAGGATTGCTGGACCTGGGTGATACTTCTTCCTCAGATTTTCCCAAAGCTTATAATTAGTAGCTATTAAGATAACTGCTAGTTCTTCTAACTCAGTAGTACATTTTGTCTGCTTTCTTGGCCTCTGTTGTTCCAATGACTCTCTCTCTCCTAATTTTTAAACATTTTGAAATGTATTGCTTCTTTGTACTCTAATTTATTCATCCCATATCTGTATAAGGATTGTACTGATGTCAAATGGTGATTTATTGCTGATGCTGACATGGTTCTTGTGGTGGCTACTGGGACCGGGAGTATCCTTACAGCATTTCTTAGTTGGGGAAATTGATTGGTCGTATTTCTTCAAATTCGAATCAATCCTGAACAATCGTGTTTGTTTACCAATTTCATTAAATTCTTAGAAAAAAATGGTGCAGTAGACTTTGCTCACTACAGTGGAAGGACAGCACATTTTAAATATTGTTTCAGCTGTAATGTGTGATTAATAAAATTTCATTCAAAGTTTTGGAGAGCTGTTTTCCAGTGCTTTGATATAGGGATAGTGAAATTAATCATTAACTACTCATTATTCAACAGGTTCATTTTGATGGCTGGGACCACAAATATGACTACTGGACAGACGCGGACAGCCCTGACATTCACCCGATTGGATGGTGCGATGTAACAGGGCATCCTCTGGAAGCTCCATGTCGTGAGTATTTTGTCTTTGCTGTTGCTTTTCAAATACTTAGCCTGAATTCTTAGCCTGAAGAAACCTTAATGCTGTTTCTTCATGTCATTATAAGTGTCTGAAAGCTAAATATCAGATAGGTGAGTTGATTAATCATCACTCTAGCCACACTGAAAGCCTATTACTCTCAATTAAGCCTCAAAAGGCATGTTTCATATAAACAAAGAGTTATAGTCATTAAGAAATTATTTTGATAGTATTATGTTAAAGAATCTTCATTTTGTACATTTTAGTTTGGAGAACAAAACCAGACCTAAATCCATCTAATTTGGCCATTGCTTTTAGCTGAAGTATGTTTTAGTTTTTCGAACATTCCATCTTAATTTTTGATAGAATAGATTTCATAATGTTTTAGAAAAAAACAAATATTTATTTTCTTCATTGTTCCATTTTTATTTTTAATAGTAAGTATCTGGAAACAACTTAAATGTCCAGAAAAAATATTTTAAATTTCAGCAATTAAAAATAGTTGTAAAAATTTTATAAAACCCTTTATTATATTGGTATATTTATTATTTCTGTCTTTCAAGCTACTGAAAGGTAAGAAGAAAATTAACCACTGTAAATTCTAATGGACCTCATACCAAAATATGTTATTCATTTATCTGAAGGATTCTTCTGATCAGAAAGGCACATGGCTAATAACTAGGTTGAAACATATGTGCAGTTTTCTCCATTCTTGTTTGTTTTGTTCCTTCACTGCTTCTGTTGCCCTCCCTGTGGCCTCTCGGAATGAAACTAGTGAGTTACTCTTCAATGAAGATATCTTACATTGAGCTATCCCCAATGGTGCTTGAACCTTAAATCTAAAAGGGCATCTTTGAAAGAATCCCTTAACTTCTTGTATAAATGAGATGGGTCCCTGGAAAACTGACAGGCATCTTTACAATTTCCTAGGTTCTTTAAAAACCACAAAGTCAATAAGGTACAGGTCCTTAACGGAGCCTGCCGTGCATCGTAAACATAGGATTGGTACGCAGAGAGGGTAACACAGGGGCACCATGCTCAGTATACGTTGGGAGAAAAGTGTAAGCATTTGTGCTTTGTGGTTCCTTCGATCCTACTTTTTATTCTTCCAGATTTAACACCCCAGCATGCCAGGGAAATGGTTCTTTCTTTATGGTGACCACCCCCAACACCCACATGCACCCCTCAGTCTCTCATCCCGGTAACTTTCTCAAGTAGGAATGATTTAAACAGAGGTAAGGATGGATCATTTCAGGTATAGTGACAGTTCTCTGCACTCCACCTCACCCATTACCTGCTCTTTTGTCAAGCTGCTTAACTGACTTCTTCACTGGAATATTTCATAAGCATCCTGAAGCCTGTTGGATGCTTATCCCAAATGTAAACATCATCCCAAGCAAAAAGCTTGCTTTTCTATTGTTGTTCCTACTTGCTTCCAAAGCTCCTACTTCTTATTCGGAGTTATTCTGGACTCTGCCCCCTCCTTACCCCTCCCTCACCCCACACATACAATCAGTCATTACGTCTGCTGATTTTCTCTCAGTTTCTCCAGAGTCCGTCTTTGACCTCTGCTCCTCCCAACACCATTGCACTATTTGCACTCTCATCATATTTAAAAATGATTGTACAGATGAGTTACACAGATTTTCCCCAAGAGCCTGGAGTGCATCTAAAATTTCAGGTTCCAGGTGGCAATATAGCCTAATTGTTAAAAGTGTAAAACATGGAGTCAGAATGCTTACATTTGAATGTCAGTTTTTTCTGCTTGCTGAGCTGTGTCTATTTCCTCATTTGTTTAATGGAGGTAATATTAGTATGTCTAGCTCCTATATTTATAACAATGAAACAGGGTATATATATATATATATATATATCACTTCAAAAACATCCTGACCCATAGTATGTGCTCAATTAATGTTAGCTGCCATCAGGAAATTGCATAACATTCTATAGATTTTCATTTTTATATAGGCGTGTATAAATTATTAAGGATTCCAAAATTTGAAATGGTGCTAAAATTAAAATCTGACTGAGTTTTCAAAATATTTCATTTTTTCTGAAGTTTGACTTCCATGTGTTGGCAGTATTACGATTCCTGTTTGGCGTAGTCACACTCAGGTGATTGGACTACCTGTGATCTGGGGGGAAGACCATTTGTAATTGGCTGTCTTCCATTGGTTATGATGTTTGGTTACTGCTGTGCTTGTTTTTTGTTATAAATTTGTTTGGATTAATCATTATTAATGTGGGTTGCTCAATTAGCCCTATGATTTATAATTATTCATCTGTTTAAATACCTAGACTTTAAGACATGCTTATGATATGGTTCAATATATGTCATTTGTGCCCATATTGTTAAAGCAAAAATATGCAAAGTCACATACACAAACACACACCAGTCTGCTGCAAAATTATTTATTTGACACTGAATTCTTTTCCCATTGCTAAATAAAAACAAAGGGTTAGTTTAGGTGCTGCCATGGAATAAAGTTTAAAAGTCTAGAGCTAACTGTTGTACAGGTTCATTCATGACTCATTTTCTCATTTCTTCCTTATAATAGTTTGTGTGAAACCCAAAACTTACCTCATTTTCCCCATAATCATAACGCTCAGTATTTTACAGTATCCACTCAGTAAGGATAGTGAGAAGTAGAAGTTCTCGACACCCTAACCGGTGATTGTGAAGGCCTCTGGAGCTCGAGAACTTGAATGTTCCCATTCAGCTGGGTGGAGTGCGGGTTTGCGTGGCCGGGTGATGACAGGTTCCCAGTAGTGGCCATCCCCAGCCACAGGTGAGGGCTCAGTTTGTCTGTTTTTTCTAACACATAGTACTTCACAGGGGACCTTTTCTACAGTTAGAATCAAAATTAAAACTTAAGATGTAGCATTATTAAGTTGTCGAGATCTTTCTCTCATGCTTTGTATTCCACAGATGTCCTTAAAAAGATACAAAAAGTCAGAACCAAAGAAACCATGCCTGCCATGGTCATCTACTCGATTCCTTCTCAGCAGTCTCTTCAGTCACATCATTTGGAAACTATAAGCCCAGTCACATTTGATGTTAAATTTCTTTAAATGGAGCTCATTTTTTCTTTTGCTGTTAATTATCCTCCTACGTAGTACCTGCTCCATGGGGCAGTAGGATGTCCAATATCTCTTGCTCTGGAAATTAACCAGGTTTGAGAATATGATCAACTTTGGAGTTAGAAAATCTTGGATTTAAATTTCTATTGTGCTCTGACTCTGTGCCTTTGGGCATACTTGCCCAAAGTATTTGGGCATTACTTTACCTCTGGGACTTGCAAGCTTGTGAGATTAAATACCTTAACATCTGATTTTGGTTATCTGAGGCACAGTGGCCCTTCAGTAAATACCGTGTTTCTCGGACTATAAGACGCACCACCCCCCCCCAATTTGGGAGGAATAATGGTTGTTAATGCTGCTGTTGAGTTCTGTGTACATTTACATTGGTGAAATACTATGTTATTTATGTTATAAATATTTTACCATTCTTTTTGCTTCAGTTTTTTTCTATTTTCCTCTAAAACCTAGGTGCGTCTTACGGTCTGAAAAATACAGTAGTAGGGCTGGGGTGAAAAGTGCAGGAACGTTTGCTTCCCAGTCACCATTTCTCTTCACTGGTCCAGAAAATTAGCAGTTGACTTTATTTCCTAAAACTTACACAACCAGTAAGCCTTTTGCATAGATACTTGTTATAACTGCACTATCCATAGAAGTGTTGCTGATCTCTGAGTGAATATTGAATAACAGGACAGGTCACAGCATTTAGTGTTATTGATTTAGGCTTAGGATAATCAGGCCCGATAAGCCCTGTTAAACTAAGAACTAAAGAACTATGCTGTTCTTTTTAAACAAGTCTTTCTATGTCGTGGCAATTCTGTACCCAATTCCAATGTGTGGGTTTTTCCCTCACACCAAGCAATTCCTACACCACCTGAATGCCCTACAACTCAGCTCCATTCTGACACTCTCTCCCTGAAGATAGCATCAAATTCCACAGGTGAGCACTCAGTCCCACGAGACTCTCCCTACTTCAGATGTCAAACAGAAGTCCAAGTTTTTACCTTTCCTTGTGAAAAATTGACTGTAAATCATAGGTTTCCATGACCCCCTCTTTGGGTTCAGTTAATTTGCTTGAGCAGAACTCAGGAAACCAGTTATGAAGAGCTACATAGGATGAGGTCCTAAACAAAGGAGATTCCATCTTCATGAAGTTCGGGACCCAGCATAGCGGCACATACATATGTTCTTATTCGATAACCTAGTAGTTCTCCAAACCCTGTCCTTTTGAGTTTTTATGGAGGGTTTATTACATAGGTGTGCTTGATTAAATCATCGTCCACTGGAGATTGAACTCAGTTTCCAGCTCCTCTTCCCTCCTCGGAGGTCTAGGGTTGGGTCTTAAGGTTCCAACCCTGTAATTACAGGGTTGCCTTCACAGGCAACCAGCCAGCCTCCTCCACAGCCAGCCTCCTGCTTAGGAGCTTTCCAAAAGTCCTCATCTCATTAACATAACAAAGGATGCTCATCACTGCCATCACAGGAAATTAAAGGATTTTAGGAGTTCTATGCCAGGATAGGGCTATATTTCTTATTATAAATATCAATATCACAACTGCAAATATACCACAAGTGAAATAAAATTATTCTCACTAAATTGTTCAGTAGCTAACTAGTCAAATAAAATGGACATAACTGCTTCTTAATAGAGATCTTCTCTCTTAAGCACAATTAACCATTCCTTTGTCCGTTGTAGGCTGTGCTACTTTCCTCTGGTCTCCTTTTGCCTCTCGATGTAGACTCGGGGTCCCTCCACCTCTGGGTAGAGTGTGTCTTCTCTATACCTAATCCTTCTAGCATTTGGACCAAGAAGATTAAGTCATTTGCTGTCAAGATTCATGTCTTCAAAACTTTGATATCCTTGGGGAGCCGAATTTTCTCTTTATCCTCATCATTCTATAGTATGTTGTCCT